CCCATCCGCTGACCCCATTTCCCCAGAACCCCCGATGCCACTCCTGTAACCTGCCCCATCCGCTGACCCCATTTCCCCAGAACCCCCGATGCCACTCCTGTAACCTGCCCTGTCTGCTGACCCCATTTCCCCAGAACCCCCGATGCCACTCCTATAATCTGCCCCGTCCGCTGACCCCATCCCTCTGAGGCCCCCTGACCCATCTCTACAGCCAGCCTGACTCCCTGGCTCCACTCCCCCAGGCCCAAGATCCCTCGACCCTCCTCCATAAGCTGTTCTGCCCCCAGTTCCCTGAGGCCCTGGCATTTGTGACCCATCCTCATGACCCAGCACATTGCCAGACCCATAAGCCCACTGGCTCCCAGAACCAGCCCCAGCATGAGGAGCTAGTGCCTCAGGGTGCCTGGCATTGTCCCAATGCCCAGTTCCAGCTGCGGATGCCCTGGCACCAAGGTACCTGGTCCCGTCCCCATCCCCCGCTATGCCTTCTGCCCTCAGAGACCCAGGCTCCATGGTTCCTGGATGCCCAGATCCATCTTCACAGCCTCTTTCTCCAAAGGCCCCCAGCGCCCCTGAAGCGCGGAAGCCCCCGTCATCTCCAGTCTGACCCCGAGGCTTGATTCTTCCAGAGCCCCCTGCTCCTGCTTCCACGCGTTCCTCCCCAGCAGTTTCCACTGTTCTAGACGACTTGAGGCCACCTCTACCCACAAACCCCACTGTCCCAGGACCTCCTAGGTCATCATCAGAAGGATGTCCTCTCCCAGGGCCCATTTCCCCCTGGCCTCTGGATAATTCCCAATTCCCAGCTTCACCCACGGGCCATCCATCAGGGCCACCTGAGCCATTCTGGAGACTGGTCGCTCCAGGCCCCCTTCCTGCGGGCTCACAACCATCTTTGTTTCCAGACTGCATTCCCCCAGGCACCCCTGAGCCATGCCTGTAAGTACCCCCTTTCTCAGACTCTGTTTCCACAGGTGCCCTAGAGGTGACTCTACCAGCACAGTGACCAGAGCCCGTTTCTCCTGGCACCCCTGAGCCATCGCTATAACCAGCCCCTTTTTCAGGACCTTTTTCCCGGGAATAATTTAAGCCATCTCCATACCTAGGCTTCATCCTCCCCAGACCTCCTAAGCCATCCTTATGGCCCATGTCTCTTCTGGGTCCTTTTTCTCCAGAGTTCCCCAACCCATTCCAGAAATCTGGTTCAGACTCTGTTGCCCCAGGACCTCTTAATCCTTCTGTGTCTCCTCGTGTCCTCCCAGAGCCCTGAGCATCCAGCCCTGGAGACCCAATTAGCCTGTGGCTTCTGGCATCCACTCCCTGACCAGATTCTGTCGGCCCAGCCACCTGGGCACCAACCACACCCCCTTTCCCTCCACTGGACCCCAGCACTTCAGGCCCATGGTGGGCCCCTGTTTTTCTGAGGCTGGACCATGTGTCACCCCAAGGACCTGTGCTCTCAGACTGTGTTCTGCTGGGCCCCCCTGCTCCCCTCTGACTCTCTGTCCAGTCCTGGGAAGACTGGTGGCTGCTGGAACCATCCCTTGCCCTGCCCAAGGCCCCAGCTGTCTCCTGGCCATCCCTTCCCCTGAGCTCCTGTAAGCTGCCTTCCCAGTCCCTGGGACCTCCTGGGCCTCCAGGGCCTGTTTTGGAGCCTCTTCCCACAACAACAGATCCCCCCCGGCCCTTGGGCATCCGCCTCCTGCAGCGAGCCCTCAGCTTTGGCCCCAGAACTTCCACTGCCCTGGAGAAATTTTCTGGATATTGGTGATTCCTGGAAGTCCTTTCCTCCAGATGTCTGTCCTCCATACTCCCCCGGCCCCCTGTAGCCCCTGGCTTCCCCGTGATCAGTATCTCTACCTCCCTGAGAGCCCCAGGACTCAGGGCCCACACCTGCCTTGGACCTAGAACCTCTTCCTCCAGGAAAGTCCAGGGTGCCAGGACCTCCTACCCCACTGCTATCTCCAGCTCCCCCCAGGCCAGCCCTGCTACCCCACACTGCCCTTGCTGCTCTTCTCTCCCTTTCCCTGCTCAGACTGTCCCCTCCTTCCACCTCATCCAAATTATCACCCTGAGGAACATTCTCCTTCC